TTTGCTTATTTGTGCTCTCTCTTCTTTCTTCTTTATGAGTTTGGCTAGAGGTTTGTCAATTTTATTTAACCTTTCAAAAAACCAGCTTTTGGTCTGATTGATTTTTTCTATTGTTTTTTAATCTCTATTTTATTTATTTCCTCCCTGATCTTTATTATTTCCTTTGTTCTGCTGACTTTTGGGGTTTTTTTGCTCTTCTTTTTTTAATTGTTTTAGCTGGTGGGTGTGAGCTTGTATTTCTAATCTGAAAAAAAAAACAATTTAAGAATGTGACGTTCTTGTACTGTCTAAATTATGGGAAAATTAACCAAGAGTTTCTAGAGTATTTTGTCCTTTTTGTGCAGTTTTCTCTTATTCTGTGTTTATTTTCCCCAGTTTTGTCACAGACACAGTATATTTAAGGTGACTCTCCTGGTATAATCTACTTGTGCTGTCCCTTTAATGTTTCAATCACTGTACTTTTCATTCATTCTTGGAGCGACTCTTTTGGGGCACTCCCACCACATGACAAGCATGACCTAGTGCCGGTGTTAGTGACAAACATGACTAAGTCATAGCCAACAGCCTAGGGGGAAAGGCAGATAATTAACAAGTAAATAACTGGATACACAGACATCAAGGAGGTGATAAATACCAACTAAAAGAAATATGTTACTTGAAACTGTTAAATTGTTTCTCTGCCACCAGGTCTCACCCAGAAGGCCGATCATCTTCTGAAGGAGAAGAAGGCCAGAATGATGGAGGCATCAGGGTATAGTTCCTGAGGGAATGAATTACTCCAGGCTCTGTTTACTAGGGATTAAAGAGACTTCAGGCTTGCTGAGAAAATTGCACGATGATCCTGTGACCTGGATCTAAAACAGATTCAGTCCAGTTGCAGAAGAACTCAGTTTCCTTCCACTCCATTCTGAAGTGTTTGTGGCCCATCAGGAATGACTCCCATCTCCTAATACTTAGACTGCCCTGGGTTTTTCAGAGCTCACTTCCTGTAACAAAGGATGCAAAATAATTGCAAAACAAACAAAAAACAAAACAAAAAACCAGAGCAGATAAATTAAAGCAGGACACAGCCTCTTAGTGACGCTCAGAACCGCACAGGTTCAGTCTTCTCATCAGTGTAAGTACCCTCTATTCAGAATCAAACCTCAAAGAGCCTTATTCTTTGTTTCCTTATTTTTCCCCTGCCACGTGGCACAGGTATCACCGGTAGGGGGGAGCAGTGACCAGAGAAATGAAGAAGCGGAGGGTACTCCGGAACACTCTGGAGGAGAAATCGGAAAAGATGGGGAAGCCACAGCCCAGGAGGAGGCTGATGACGATGAGGAAGTCGAAATCCAAGAGGAAAAGGAAACCAATGGCGAACTCGAATTTGAAGAGGAATTAGAATCTGGTATGGAAACCCCGTCCTCTGAAGGGAAAGTCAGTTCCACAGACCTGGGTTACTCCGACATCAGCCCTGGTGAGGTTCCTGGAGATGAAGTCGGCCCCACATGCCTGCATGACAGAGCAAGGGGGAAAGCGAGTCTTGAAGGCAGAGAGGGCCCCAGCTCATCCCAATCCGGAGGACCGGGGGTCACCTCCGCAGAGCCCTCCCAGCGAACTTCGGGCTCACCCGAGCAAGTGGACCAGGAGTCGGTGAGTGGCCTGAGGTCTGTTTCACCCAGGTGTTTTACTGCTCGTGAGGCTTGCCACCCTACGTGAGGGAATCGGGGCACACTACAAATAATTCACACCGCAACCCCTGTCAGAAACGTCTCGGCAAACTTGGGTCTCAGGAGCCACCATCAAATGCCGAGAGTTTCTGGACCCTCCCTCTGTGTCCCAAACACAAGGTGGGAAAGTGCCATCTGAGGGCATCCGGGTGTCCAGCACCGCCCAACAAAGCTTTGCATGATGATGGCAATGGCTCTGTCTGCACTGCCCAGTATGGTGGCCGCTAGTCACATGTGGATACAGAGCACTTGAAGCCTGGCCAGAAGGACGAAGGAACCAAGTGTTTACTTTTTTAAAGATCCTAATTAATTTGAATTTATATAACCACCTTACAGGTGGCTACCATCCTGGACAGTGCAATCCTAGATAGTAATGACAATGGTTACGTTCCTGTAATTTTCATTTTTTATTTTCAAACAAGCATAGACTTACAGAAAAATTGACATACCATAAGAACTGTGGGGTTTTTTTTTAAGCATTTGAGAGTAAGTTGCCAATCTGAATCTCCATTGCCTCCCAGTGCTTCCGTGTGTGTTCCCCACAAACAACAACAGTGTAACTATCAAAATCAAGAAATTGTGCGAATTGTTCTGGAAGGGAAGTGAGCAGCAGGGCAGGGCAGGAAGAGAATGCATTACATGTCTCCTTCATGGCCCTTCCAAGGGCTGGACACTTCCATGCCCTTGAGGTGTGCTGTCTCAGTGAATCCTGACAACAACCCTGTGAGGTGGGCATCAGTATTACCCTTGCTGTACAAATGGGGAGACTGAGGGACGAGGGGCTTCCTCGCCCAGAGGCACCCAGCTGGGATGGCAGCTCTCTGAACCGTGAAGCCAGGATCCCTCCCCAGCCTGTGAAATCTAGAAGAGTTAATAACTTTGCAGAATAATACAACTCGATACTCATTGAGCCCTAATTAGCTTTACGATGACAAATGGCAAACACATGATCAAAATCACCTTTTAGAATTTTATAACAGTACCCCACCTTCTCAAATAGCCTGGAAGGGTGAGTTATAGGTCACTTGTTGAGCTGTACACCCAATTTCCATCCTGGCCTCCAGTTTCTAGAAACTCACTAAAAAACAGTCTCCATATTTGATCAACCAGAAGGGCAGAGACAGACCCGAGGAGAGACCCCTGTTCCCCTCCTCCCGGCTGGGGCCAGGCTTCAGAGGAAACAGAACTAGGGAGCTGGGGCCCCTGTGCCATCGGCGTGTTCCAAAGCCTCGCTGACTTCCCGTCAGGAAAAGCCCTTTCTGGACACCCAGAGGTGGACTTTTGTCTCTGGGCCCCGTCAATGTCACCGTGGTTCTGGCTGCCTCAGAAATCACTTCTAGAGTCAGCATCACCTGAGGACGGTCAGCAGAAAGAGCAGGAGCCGGGGGCCAAGACGGCCCTTGGCTGGCTGTGCGAGCTCTGGCAAGGTCTTGGGGTCCTGTGAGCTGCTTCCCCACAGATGACAGAGACGGCTGGCACCGCCTCGCAGGGTCCCCGTGCAAGGTCCTTGCCTGTTGTTACGAATATTCACCAGTTCATCATCGACAGTAATTACTGTCCACAGTGACCAGGGCGAGAGTCTCCTTTAGAGCTGAAGTGGAGCCAGGTGTTCCACTGAGAGAACACTCTTAAGGAAATGTCTCTGAAGTGGAACAGCTGGAAAGCAGAGAAGCAGCTAGCAGCCCCCTGGTGGACCCTGGCCGGACTCAGGCTCCCCCGCATCCTTTTATAAAGAGGATGCTCGGAGGTGCTGCATACCGTCCACGGGGAGACCAGCGCTTGGGAGCGAGGAAACCCGCGCCCAGCGCAACCCGGGCCTCGGCGCTTGCGCTCCGCTGCAGACCGAGCGGGCAGGGGCGCTCCCGGACTCCTCGTGGGGGTGGGGAGAGGTGTTTTCTGCTCTGACCATTTGCAAAAGCCAGGTGATATCCAAACCATTTTCCACTATTTCAATAACTAAGTTGAATTTTGAACACTGGAATGAATCAAAATCGAGTAACTTCTCCATCCCAGTTGCCCTCGTTAATTCAGGCTTGGTTGTTTTTCCTCTAAAAACAGTCTCAGGAAGCGCCCCTCTTTCCTCTGGGGCAGCAGCACCGCCGGGAACACAGCCAGGGGAGCCGCTACGTGTCCGTGGACTTGGACCAGCCGTCTCCGGGCGTGGAGGGCCCCTCCTCACAGGAGCCAGGTACCACAGGATAAGCCACCTCGCACCCCCTTCTGCGCGAGGGCTGCCCCTCATTTGCCACCTGCTACCTCATGCCCGTTGGGCTGCGAGCCTAAAGATGGAAGAATTTCTCACAGATACGGAGAACACACATGGAGCGTTTGCTCTCTCCTCTCACTTAATCCTTACACTGCCCGCTGAGCAGGGAACCGTTCTTCATTTTACAGACCCTAAGAGTCATTAAGCAACCTGTCCCCGTCAGTGGCAGGACCAGGCCTGGCCCGAGATCTGGTGACACCCCAGCCCACATCTCTGGCCACACATCCCACTGCCTTCTGGTCTCAGAGGGGAGCTCCCCGCAGACGTGCGTCTGTCTGCTGAGTTCCCAAGGCTCTCCCGCACACCCCTGTCTTTCCCCTTGGCTCCGGTAGTCCAGTGTTGTGTACTTGGGAAAATGGATCAAGGTATTTCTTATGCCACACGATGAGGGTGCACGGGTGGTCCAGCTAACAAAGCCTCACATCACTCACAAGCGACACACAGACACACACCCAAACGAGTTAAAAACGGAACAGGATGTCTCCGGCTCGGGCGGCGAGGAAAGCTGAAACTAGAACCTCACTGAGACATCACTGCTTCTCAATCTTACCAGCTGTTTCCCATAAAAAAAGATCAATCTAGTCCTTTATTAAGAAGCCACCTTCTACTCACTCTTTATATACAGATACATTTAAAAAGTACCTACAAAATGTATTTCCTTTTAGTCTACTTTTAAAATGTGATCCTTTCTATGGAACACGTTCAGTCAACTAGTAGGAACCCTAACCCTAACCCTCCCACCCAGCTGACCCTGTGAATGGCACGTCTGAACACTAACCCAATGGGCGCTTTTTCTGTTTCCCACGATGTTGCCTGAGGCTAAATGTGTCCACTTTGCCTGATGACACCCCCAGAGAAGCACGCTCTCTACGCCTCTCTTACGCCTCAGTGATGTCTGCTGTCCCCCCAGAGCCCGCTGCCCCCCCCGGGGAAGGAGCTGCGCCCTCCTTCCTGGACAGGATCCAGCAGCTAAGCATGGCGGAGGAAGGGGGCCTGGGGGAGAGAGTGGAGTCTGAGGGCAGCGACGAGGCCGAGGAAGACAGGTCCCAGCTGGTGGTTTTGGACCCAGACCATGTAAGGAGACATCCCCGGGTTTTGCTGTTGCCCCACAAAGATCAAGAGGGACTCCGCTTCTCCTGCACCTGCCCCGGAGGCCCTTCCCACCCTGCCCTCCGCAGACCTCCGCCACCCCCTCAAACGCCACGCTCTCGTCTATCCCCCCTCAGCGTTTTTTCTGCAGGGTTTGGACTGCTGCTTTGTAAAGTGTATTCTCCCTTTAGGTTCATATGCTGGGTCAGCATTTCTCAACCTTGGCGCCATTGATATTTGGGGCTGGATCACTCTTTGTTGGCGGGAGCTTCCTGGGCACCACAGGGCAGCATCCCTGGGCTCCACCCACTAGGCGCCAGTAGCACCCCTTAGTTGTGACAACTAGGAATCTCTCCAGACTTTGGGTGTTGGGTGGGGACAAAAATCACTCCACTGACGACCACTCGAGTGTCCCAACCCTCTGGCAAGTAGGGAGGGCAGGTCTTGATTGGATGAGCCCCTGTGGAAAGCCGTGGTGCTCCAGGCACCGCCAGAGGGATCGGGTTGTGCTGGGAAAGGGGGCTGAGCACTCACTCGGTGCTGGCACCCCATGCGCTGCTCCTCGCTGCCCTCTGACCCCCGGGGAGAACCAGAACCACTGCCCCAGCTCACCCTGTCATTTTGCCAAAATATGCACTCAGGTCCTTCCGTGCTTAGGATGAGACCACGGGCGCTTTGACTTTGTGGCTTCCGGAGTAAGAATCCCGGGCAGAAGTGGGGAGCACCCGCCTGGAAGTCATTCCTGCAGCAATTTAGGCTAAGCCCTGGAGGGGACAGGGCAGTAACCGGCTGTGCTCTTCCGTCGTTTTAGCCCCTGATGATCAGATTCCAGGCTGCCCTGAAGAACTATCTTAACCGGCAGATAGAGAAGCTGAGGCTGGAGCTTCAGGAGCTGGTGCGTACCTGTCCCGCCTTCCACCCGGCTGTGCGCCCGCGGCCCCGTGACCCAGCTTCTCTCTCTGCTGCAGGGCGTGGCCACCAAGCAAGGCCGAGTCCAGCGGCAGGAGCTGGGGGTGGACCTCTACGGGGTCCAGCAGCACCTGGCCCGCCTGCAGATGCAGCTGGAGAAGAGCCACGACCGCCACTCGACCGCCGCGTGCGCCAGGCGCCGTAAGGAGGAGGAGCTGCAGAGCGCGCGCCTGCTCTACGCCAAGACCTGCGCCGCCGCCGGCGAGGAGCGCAGACAGCGTAAGGCGCGCGCGTCCTCGCGGGTGTCCTCGTGGCGCGTCCCCGC